CGGGGGGGGGGGGGGCAAACGAGGTTCTTTGGGTAGATATGATATCCTTTATTAGACCAACTAAATAGTTGGAAAAATTGTTCTTTGAAAGCTTTTGAGCACAAACACCCTTCAGACATAGACAGAGTCTGTCCGTGTGTGTGTCCATATCCTGTAGCGTGGCAAGGACTAGTACCCAGAAGTGTGTGTGCAGATGTGTTGGGATTCAGAAGCATCTGGGTGCTGGTCTGTTTCATGCCCAGAGCTCTGCGATAATCCGGGGACTCCACGGGGGTTGCAAGAACTCAGATCTTGGGTAGAAGAGCCCTGTGCTCTGTGCTGCTGCTGTTTGCTGCTGTGGTGCTGCGTGTGCTCAGGGCCATAGCAAGAGGCAAGGATTTCTTAGGGTGAGATCTTTTATTCGGCTAACTGTATAGTTGCAATAAAGTGAGATGAGATTTCCATTGTAAAACATCCCCCCCTGAGGTCTCTGATTATAGGAAGCTGGGCACAGCATAGGGGAGGGGCTGTGAGAAATCCCCAGGTGTAGCAGGTGCACCATTGGCAAAATAAACTAAGCTGAATACTGGGAGATCAGGGCCTATCAAAAGCGGGGATGGGGAAGGTCAGTCTCACCTTCCTCCTGTGGAAAGAATTCAGGAGTTGGATAAATTATATTGGGCCATGTGAAATTTTCCCTGCACATGGAGCCTCCTCACTCATCCCCACTACAACTTGTGCTTCAACCTGTGGGAACCTGCAGGTCATTACAGTCTCTGCTGAGATACAGATCACACAACACCCATGCACATATCGCCCGCTGCTTATAAATTTATCAGGGGAGGACAGCAGGGAATTGGGGATGCACTGTTTACCAGAGCAGCCCAGGGAGTAACCAGGAATAATGGGTGCAAACTAGTGAAGAGTAGGTTAGACATTAGGAGGAAATTTTTTACAATAAGGGTGGCCAGAGTCTGGAATGGGCTTCCAAGAGAGGTGGTGCTCTCACCTAACTTGGAGGTCTTCAAGAGGAGGCTTGATAGTCACCTGGCTGGGGCCATCTGACCTCAGTCCTCTTTCCTGCCAGGGGCAAGGGATCAGACATGTTCCATTGGGTCCCTTCTGACTCTATGAATAGTCAGTCCTTTTGTGCGTGTGTTGGTAGTCAGAAATATGTGGGTACTTATGAGTTCGGTGTCTCTGCAGCCCTGGTTCTGATGACCGTCCCCAAATAGTGTTTGAGAGACAAGAGAATAAGCACCCAAGAAGGAAAAGTGCACTGCAAAAGAAAGATCCTCGTTTTGGCACTGAGTTTATGAAGTAGAAGGGTGAATGTGATTTACAGTAAACAAGTGCACTGGCCGTCTGGTGATCTAGGTGCCAGATAGTAGGCAACCTCTCTAGTCTGAATATGGCAGGAACCAGGCATTCAGCATTCTAAGATAAATTTTACTCTGTACATGTGTGTGCGCATGCACGCGTGTACGGTTCATCTAGCAGTTAAAGTAACATTGGACAATTCCTTGGTCTGCATCCATGTATAAGTCATTATGTAGATCCCAAACTCCAAAGCGCCGAAGTGGTTACATATCTAACTATAAGAGTGATGCCACTGCTTTTGGACATGCCTTGAAATATTTGCAGGTTGGGTATAGTGATAAATTCTAGGATTAGATTGAACATTAATTTGTGTTTGAGGCAAGGATTTCTTAGGGTGACATCTCTTACTGAACCAACTATGTAGTTGGGGTAAAGTTAGACAAGCTTTTGAGCGCAAGACATTCTTTCTCAGGTCTCTGATCTGTATTTCAGAACATGTTTGAGTTCACTTTCTTTAACGCTTTTACTCTGTGTATCAAAGTTCTGATGACTGGACTGAGCATATTCGTAAGTAAGAGTTATGATGACTTTATTTAAAACTGTAGTGCTTGATCCCTATATGGCATTTTGTATTAAATTATTGTATTATAGCTTCCGTGTTAGAAATACTAGTTCTTTAGTATGTGTCTTTCTTGGTTTCTTAAGACAGCCTTCAACAATTACAATGCTGAATGAGTTTCCCAAAAATTAAAAGGCTAGATGAGTGTGTTTGAATATGTGTAAGGTTTTGTTTTTCCATTCTACTGTTGCTGATTTTTAGCTATTGATTTTACAGAAAAATGTTTTTCAACTGCTGTCTCATTTGTCCAGTGATCTCATACTATTGTTTTCTTTAAAAATGAATAGGTTATGATTACTCATGAAGTATTTTGTATGCATTGATAATTTCTGCTTGTAGGTTGTCAAGTGTAATTTCCTTTAACTGAGAGGTTACACAGAGCTGAGAGCAAAGCTTGGTGTATCATAAGGTCATTTTTAGGGGCTGTTTGTGTTTCAAGTCATTAATTCAGTCTTGTATCCTGAGGATAGCACTGCACTCCACTAACAGATTCTCTTGAGAAGGAAAAACTTCCTCTCATTCAAAGGCCTCTACAGTTTTGCATTGCTATTATGGTGGGGTTGGAATTTTCACAAGAAAACAGGTTTGAAGTTTTTAATGAAAATTGGCTTTAACTGTATTATAAGTCTGTGAAATCTGAACACTAGCCCTGGGCGAGTCACTTGCTTGCCATGATGTTTTTAGTAGTTTTACTGGTATTCATAGTGAAGAGGCTGAGCTTGTGCCAACCTGGATGATGAATGTGCAGTGATGTGATATGGTTTAAGTCTTCAGTGTTTTCTCTTACACTGGAGGTGAGCAAAATGGCAGATCCAGCTGGCAGCCGGATTCCATTTCCCAGTAGCCCCTGCCTGTGTGGCTCCTCACTGGTCTCCATGGAGACCTCAGGAGTGTGGGTCCCTGACAGTGTGGGGCTGTAGAACCGGGGCTGTGCCCTGGCCCCATACTCCTGGGGTTTCTATGAAGACCAGCCAGAGCCATATCAGGAGTTGCTCCAGGGCCAGTTAGGATCTTGCGGTGGTGACAACATGGGCCCCGGGCCATGGCAGAGCCATGATCTGCTACTTGCACACCCCCTGCCCACCTGCAGAACCTGCACTTGTTGCAGGGGTGTGCAGGCAGCAGATTGTGGCCCTGCTCTGTCACTACCTCAAGATCCTTGCGTCTCCCCAGCCTGCCCGCTTGTCCTGCTCCTGGTCACAGCCCCATCCCAGCTGCGCACTCTGCCCACAAGGATCCTGTCTCCAGTGCTGGCTACAGGGTAGATGGGCCGGGGTGCCTGGGCAGCAGGGCTGGGTCTGGCAGCAGCAGCCAGAAGGAGCTGCCACTGCAAGGGCTGTTGGGAAGTGGAGTCAGCTTATGGGCTGTCCTTTGCCCACCCCTGTCTTAGACAATGATTCTGTATACAGCTACATACGTGCTTAACCTTAGAACCGTCAGTGATCTGTAATAAAACTACTTAGTAAGTAAGTTAAGTACATAAGCCCTTGTATATGTGTTGGAATCTTTGTTATTGGTATCTAGATTTATTAAAGAATATGCACCTTAGAGTTCTTCAGTTTCACTGTCTACTTTCTAATATAATTGTTTTTCTTTACCTCTTTAATTGGTGAAACTGATGTCGAGCAATTAATTTCAAGGCTTTAGCAGCCTTAACTGACTAGGTCCTTTTAGGCCTCTGATAAGGTAAGGAGCCTTAATGATGAGGTATGAAAAGCTTATGGCAGGCAATTTGTACATACTGGGCATGTCTACATGTGCATTAATGTGCTGTAATTACAGCGCATTAAATTAGTAACTGTAATAACAGGTACTAACTTAATGTGCTGTAATTGGCGCTGTTGCATAGTAGTGCCAGCACACATCTTTTAGGTGACACTAATGTGCAATAGACTAATTCTAGTGCATTAGCATGGCTTGTGCCGTGATGCGCTAATGCAAAATAGAGTTAGTCTACTGCACTTCTAGTGTTTCATGTAGATGCATCCACTGAATATGATTGTATAGTTCTCAGTTTTCCCTTTAAACATTTCTGCATTTTTTGTGATAGGTAGATAACAATTTTGGTATGTTTGATCATTTTGTGGTATTCTTTTGTAAAAGTCTGTCAATATTTTTGTTTTACAGGGGTGTTAAGGATCCTGACTGACATGTTTCTACCTCATATTGACCTTTCAGAATTAGAGCAAACATTTTTCTCCAAAGTATTACCAAAGGTATGATGTCTTCTGTAGTGTAAGAAGTTTAACATTAATACTGTGGTAAAAACTTGATTGGAAACTAGTTAAAGTCTCCCTTTAACAGCTGTAGGAGTTTGTATCATAGAATTTTCCTCTTGGGATCAAATGCATTTGACACATTGCCTTCGTTCTAGAAAATGTGAATAATTTTCTGTTATGGCATCTACAGTGGTAAGAATGTTGCCCTTAGTTTCTTGAGAAGATTGAGCTCTTGGTATTTATCTTGTGGTATGTGTTCAGTAGCATTATTAATGTTAAAAATGTATTTTAATGTTTTGATTAATTTTTAATTAATCTATAAAATCTATCTTGAAAATCTTTGAATTTTATTAAAATAGCTGATAACAAATACAGTATTACATTTACATTAACAATTTATTACACCCCAGGGAATTATTCAAAATGCGCAGGAAAACTCAAAATTATGCAAAATGAATTACTTTTATTTGTTTATTTATTTATTTAACAAATTAAACTAAATATAACACTATTCAAACCTTCTTGAGAAATATATGTAGGTGCTTTGTATGGTTGGGGGTGGGTGTAGGGAGGATTTGTGAAAAGATGTGGGGGGTATGGGTGTGGTGTTTGAGGGGGTTGTAAAGAGGTGTTTGGGGGTGGGTATGGGTGCCCCCTCTCCACTGTACATTGCGCTTTCCCCCCTCATGGTGCACAGCCCCTGCCACTGGCGCCTCAGCAGCAGCAGATGGAGCCCCCGGCAGCGCTTGCCTCTGGTTGAGTCCCAGGGGCTGTACTTGCTGGCATGGAACTGGCGCAGCCTGTTGGCATGCACATTCAAACTAGATCAGGCTGGCTCCTGTTGGTGTGCACATTCAAACTAGATCAGGCTGGCTCCGTGCCAGCATGTGCAGCTCATGGCATTCCAGGCGGGAGCTGTATGCCATCTGGCTGGGTGGGCTCTGTGCCTTCATGTGCAACTTCCCGCTGGAGTGCCGGAAGTCTTGTGTGGAGCCATGGAGCTGGCCTGACGGCACACAGCTCCTGGTCCATGCGCCATTAGGCTGAGCTGGTCGGCTCCATGTCTGTGGGTGGGACTTGTAACACGTGGAGGAATGCAGGAGCTGGCTTGGCTTAATCCACCGCTAAACACTTAAAATATTTAAATGCTTCAAGGACAAGTGTTAGAGAGACAAATTTGAATTTTGGAGCTATGCCATTATGAAGCTGGGAAAAGTTGAAAAGAGTAATTTTTTTTTCTAGAGTAAAATGCCACTTTTTTAATGTAACTGGCCTTCAAAATCATCCAATTTGAACCAGGCTTTTTTTAAAAAAAAATTATCTTAGGATAGCATATACAATCTTTAATATTTATAAGTAAATTAATGTTGATATTTTTATTAAATTTGTGGCTGGGACAGCAGTGTGTTTGACAAGTCACTTGGGCAAGTCAGTTGTGTGTAATAACACAGAATATGTGGTATCTGATTTCATCTTAAATAGAGGCAGTCTGGAGAAACCAGCAGTTTCACTGTGCAGTGTTCCATGTTTGTACTAAGGGGATACAAAGTCCTTCACTCAAAAAAAAAAAAAAAAAAATGCGGATATACAATGACCTGTACTTTTAGTGCCTCCCTCTCTATTAATATATATATGTATAACTGTGTGTGTGTGTGTGTGTATAAAATTTCATTTGCTTTGTTCTGACAGGCTATTCAATTATTTGATGATTTGATGCATGAATTAGCCAAGCAGGCAAAAGGATTAACAAGCCAGAATGCAGAATTACGCACAGTACTAAGGAATATTTTACAGGTAAGTACTGAAATGATCTGTTAGAAGAATGGTTGTGTGATGGTTTTTACCAAAAATATGCAAAGGTTTTTTGGAATGCTTATGTCAGCAACAGCTGAAAGGAAATCTCTGTTTTGGGTTTGTCCTAATGCAGCTAGTTTGACTCTGTGAAACAATAGGAACAGTACTCAGATATTTCTATTGATAAAAGCTTATTTCAGAGAGGAAGCTTTCATATTTTCCTGGAGTGGGCAAACCGAACGTTGCGCAAGGTGGCTGTGCATTCAGTTGACTTGTTTGGGAAGGAGACTGGACTGATGAGAAGAAAAGGGGGAAAATGCTTGACCGGGGTGGGCAAAATGTGGAAAAGGTTGGGAAACACTGCTGTAGCCCATCCTGTAGCTTCCCCTGCCAGCCCCTTTGCACCGGGAAGAGGCTGGCACCTGGCCCCAAGCCTGTGGCAGGCAATGGCAGGGAGCCGCCCCCGTCCCTACCTCCCAGACAAGCTGCCCAAGGATCCATCCCATGCCCTCCCCCGGGTGGGCAGCCCCTGCCCCAGCTCCATTCCCTCCCTCACTGTGGGGATCTTGGTCTGCTACCACCATGCCCCTACCCTCCTACAGGCTGTGAGCTGCTCGTCAAGCTGCTGGGCTGCATTCCTAGCTGCCTACATGCTGATTGATGATAAAAAAAAAAAAAAAGCAGATTGATGATAATGTTAATTTTCCTTTTATCAATGCTGATCCTATGTGGACCATTGTATTGGTGCACCTCTAGTCCCAGTGCTATCATTTGGCAAAACAGGTTGTTGTCTAGGAAAGTTTATACCTCTCTGCACCAGTTAATCTGCAAAATGCCACCCTGTCCTACCTTCTGCATTACTGATAGTCTGAATCTTGAAATAATAACTGATAAACAGCAAGTCATACACATTTTACAATTCTCATGAAGAGAGAATAAAACCTGTCAAAGGCTGTGGCATAAAACTGCTGCTGTTTTCAACAAAGCTTAATTTATTTTTATGCCCCCCCTAATACTTTTCTATCTGCCAGTATTGTAAAATTCAGTGAATAATGCAGCCAAATGCAGAAGGAAAGAGCTGGGGGGGTTTTGGTTTACATCTGCTTTTTCAACCATCTGCTGCAGTGTGCTTCCTCAGTTGGTGCCTCCGTAGACTTTTGTTGTTGTACAATCTCACCTTCAGACCCTGGTGCAGCTGTTGGGAACTCTGACCAGTTGTGTACGGCATGTCTGTACTCTTGAGGAGTCTGTGCCCCTAGAGAGTATCCGTACCCTTCCCTCTTCCATTCTCTACGTGATCAAGAACATGTTCGTGCACTGCAAGGTAGGGGTCTGTCTTAGAAAGAGAAAAATGATCTATAACTGAAAGAGTTAAAAAAAATCTTTTAAGAGATACTATATTAAAAATGTTTCTGTGACTTTTCAAGTCTTTTTAAACATGAAACCAACTATGCTCACTTCCCAAAAACAAACATCAGCGCTGCACACTCAGCCTGAGTTCTGGGAATCAAGTTGAGTTATTTCAGTCTCTTGCATCATTCTTTGTATATAGTTTCTTCTAAAGCAATTAAGCCATCTCTGGCACCTGTGTGACCTTTTTCTTCTGTGGATTGGCAGAAATGAGTGATTTACGAAGATGTGAAGAGAATTGAATTTATAATTCAGTGCAAATTTCAGGCCAGAATTATATCTGAGATTTATGTATCTGATGTTATATGAAAAATAATGTGCACCAGCATTAGACTTGCATCTTTATGTAGAATGAAACTTGTGCTTGAAATTTTTCCCTTAAGCAGTATGTATAATGTAAGACTATCACAAGTCTGTAATAACTTCAGTTTCATCCTTAAGGTAGGCTTCATTGTTTTCTACAGTCTTTAACTATTTTTGTAGCAATATTGCATTGTGAGCCCTTTGTTTAAGGACTCCTCTAGTAAGCAGTATCTCTGAAGAGACATTTTCAAGTACTGGAAAACATACGGGATATTATTTATGTGTCATGAAGTACATTTTTAGCTTTTGCTGGAAATCTGATTTTTGGAGTCGCGTTTAGAGGCTGCTCCAAAGCATGCTAGAAAGACATTTACTAGACTTTGGATTAGGCCTTAGGTGCGGTGGGGATTTGTTTGGTGAATAGTAACTACGGATAGATTTTAAATTCTACAGATCTTGCTGGCCTTATGAGTTGAAGTGGTTATTGAAAGGCCTTGGTTCTGCTTCCAAAGAAGTTTATTATAAAATGTCTATTGACTTTAGCAGCAGCAAGACCAAACTTTGATTCCCAAACATTTTCTAATTCGTTCTCATCACCCATTTCCTACAGAACAGTGAATCAGTGTACAGTGGGTGCCTGCATTTGATATCTGACCTTCTCCAGTCTCTGTTTAAGGATACCTATTGTCTTCAAAAACAGCTTATGGAACTGCTTGATATGATCTCTATGGAATCTGCTACCACAGAAGACAGTGTTGTAAATATGGTGTCAGGTGTGTATATGAAATTGTCAGTTCCACCCAGCTCCCTCTTCTCTACAGACAGGGGGCCTGAGCCTACAAGATGCAGAAATGCAAAACTCTAGAACTCTTGGTTCAGAGATGATACCTTTTATTATACAAGATGCAGAGCACTTTCTGACTGGTATTGAATGTCCTTGACTTGTGTTGCCCTCTGTTGGAGCTTAAGGTGCCCAGCAATTCAAAGGCTGTGAGTGATGTACATTAGAGCATTTTATACTTCCTCCTGAAACTCAGTTACGTATGAGATGGGTTGAGCTGTTGACATGATGTGTATCCCTCCCTACCTGCTCATTAAATGTTTTTCCTGGATTGGTGAAAGTGTTTAACTTTGTGAAGTTCAGTAAGTTGTGCCAGTTGTGATTTTGCCTCAGGGGAGTAGACTAGATCTTAAGTCTACATGTTCATGTTTAACTTGCTGTTTGCATTCACTTACTGTTCCCTCTAGTGATCCACACTGTACTGGAGATCTGTTCTGTCATTTCCAATATGGACCATGCTCTTCATGCCAACACATGGAAGTTCATAATCAAGTATGTTTTAAGGCTTTGAATTGTCACTTGATGACTTACTTTTGACAGTTATGTATCTGATCCTATTCCTGTCTATGTATTAGGCAAAGCCTCAAGCATCATTCCTTACTGCAGAACCATTTGAAACACACTGACATCCTCAATAGCCTGTGCAAGGACACCCTCTTCTCTTTCCATTCCAGTTTGCAACTTGCTGAACAAATGAAGCTTTCAGAGGTGCAGGTGAATGAAATATGATCTGAAATTGCCCTAGGGCTTGAGAAGTTCAGAGTTGGGTTAAAAAACATTGCAGAAAGCTACATTGGATGCATTTTCTATGCAGTGGTGTTGATTACCAACATATTTATATAGCAGGTACTTCATATGGCTGATGTGGTTTGCAGGAGAGCTACTTGGAATATGAGGCTAATAACATTGGATAGCACTCAGGATGCTTTAGGCAGGCACTACAAATAACTCCTCTACAACGCTATGCCATGAATTTTGCCTGCTTTGCATACTGAGAGTTCCATAAAGCTGGTCAAAAGATAACAGCTAGTATGTGGAGATTCCCATAAAATAGTTCTGAGAAGGGTGTCAGATATTCCTATTTTTGCTGTGTTTGTACAGAATCCAGGCTTCCTTCTAAAGAAAATACAGTTTCAAATTCTTTTAGCCATTTATCAACATTCTTTGATGCTTTTTTATTCTGTTATGTTTCACTACTACTTTTCTTTTGGATAGGAGGACATAGACTACAAGTTGTTCCAGAGGACAGTCAAACTGTGTAGATTCTTTGCTAATTCCCTTGTACACTACACCAAGGTATGATCTATTTATTTGGATTCTACTTGAATGTAAAATTAAGGCTGTACTATGTAAATAAAAATATTGATTGCATATTTTACCATCTAATATTATACCATGCCTTAGAGTCTGCCCTGAATTAAGTCATGGTAACATCTTCCTTGAAAATGTAAACAGTTCACTCTGTTGCTGATTTTTTTCCCCTAATAATTGAAATGCATTCATATTCCCTTTTTCAGCTTCCCAGGGCTGGTGTTTGGTTATAGATGATTGGCTGTTTCCAGTGTAAAGTTCACAGCTGCAGGAAGCAGTTCCACCCAGGAGATTGGTGATTTTATTAGAGCCTTTAATAGCTCTTACATTACCTTCAGCTGAGCTTGTTGGCTTGCTGAGTAGCCATTATGAGCTTTTTATCATGGGGAAAAGCATTTTAACACTATAAACAGCATGACCTATTGGACTATATGTCTGAGAATAAGGGGCTTCTGCATTCTGGTTCCACCCTGACAGTGACTGTGGCCTTGGTCAAGCCACTTAACTGTTGTGTTTTTGTTTCCTCAACCAGAAAATGAAAATACTGATTTGTATATGAAAGTGAAGGGTGTGGAGACTAGTGACCTACAGAGTTTTGATTTATTTGGATAGTTACACTTTGTGACACTTACCTAGACATTGGCAACTATGCATTATCCCCAGCACTAGTTGGGCTTCTCTTCTGCAGCAGGAGATTGAGGAAATACCTAAAGTTTCCAACTCCCCTCAATATATTTTCTTTAAACAGTTGGGTAATTGAGTATGGTGTAGCCAGTATAAAACCCTTCTATAAACCCTTCCACAAACCCTGTCTAGCACCATGCAGCAGTGTAATGTGAGAGAGAGGCATCTCTTGCCTGTGGAGTGGCTTAATGAAATTTGTTTTGTAGGCCTTTCTGAAAGTGTTTTAAGTTATCTCTGGCCATGCAAGTGTTCTGGAGTTTACATTTAAACAAGACAAAATCCTCCCCTCAAATCAAATTGAAGTAGAAATACCCCTCAAAACTTCAGAGAAAATTGATCTTTCCAATCAAAGAAAAACCCAAATTCTGCTGGGATTTTCTACAAGATTATATAGTTTACTAAGACCTAATAACCATATCACCTTTCTGCTTGCTTGTAATTTCTTTCCAATGTCCTTTCCTTTCTGTATCTCCTGTTCCCTACACACACCTTATTTTTTCCTTTGATATTGCTGTTTAACTTTTTCGGGGCCATTTAAGCAACATACTAAATTGCAGTAACAATCACAAAATTGATAGTTTAGTTTGTACAAAGGTTGTCTGCTATAGAGTGGCAAATACCTTTTTGTTTGTGGCACAGAATGAGTGTCCTCATAATAGGATAAAATAGTATTGGACTATGCAAGGAAGTCACTTTTGTGTGGATCTGTAATTTTTAACTTATTAAAAGGAAGTTTAAGAAAACAAACATAAATTTAGCTGCCTAAAAGAACCCAATGTAGTTCTATGGTAGGAATACTTTGTCATATGTTGATGTACTTTGTGCTCTCTTTGCATTTATAGTCAGATTCTACTTCACCTATTAGGCATATAAATGGACCTAGGTACATAAATGCAATCTACATTTGTAACAATCCATCATTTAGCTCATATGATTGAGTCACAGAAAAGCAGCACGGAGGAGGAAGGCCCACCTACCTTTTATATCAACAGTTTTTCAGAGACTCAAACAGGGTGAATAGTCCTACTTAGACACCCAAGTCCAGGTACACACTTAAAAAGTTGTCTATCCAGTTGTTTGGATAGTGGTTTTTAAAAATTGTAGTCTTCTGTGATGCAACCTAAACTTTTTGCAATAAAATGGTTTACAAATAAATAAGTGAAAGTACAAGGAAGATGCATTTAAACTGTATATTTTGTATTGAAAATAATACTCAGGGTTGACTTTTGCAGGAATTTATTCCCTTCCTCTCTGGTTCTTGCTGTCAGTTACACCAGCTGTATCTTCAGATATATAGGTAAGTGAAGCACAAATAGCAGCTGATTCATTACATCCCTGTATCAAATCTGGAAGTACCTGAATTGGTTATGGAAGCTGCAGAGTTTTTAAGTCTCTAAAAATAAAAGATTTCAGCAAGTGTTTGCTTCTAGGTGGTTGTTCTCTTTTCTGGTCTATAGAGGTCAGACAAACTTGTCCAGATAGTTCCATGTGGACACTGGGATCTGCCCAGGTTGGTCCATTTGGAGGAATGAGTCCCCAGCAATGGACTTTCCTGCAGCTCCTTATTTCTGCAATGAAATAATTAGCCAAAGAGTTTAAACACTTTAAGTGCAAAAAAAATCACCATTGATATACTGTATTATGGCTAAATTAAAGCCTATTAAGTCTCACAAATAGGGTTGCTGTCCCACAATAATTCTACTTCCGCACTGTTTGGTGTTTGTCAGAGTTTGTCACTGGATAATAGGACATGTTGTAGAACATGTGCACAAGTTATAATGTGAAAATAAACCACTTTTATTTTCCTCAGAGATAATTTTATGAAATTGTCCTTGCTTTGAGATCAAGCTTAAGAACATTGAGCCTGTAGAGGTTCTAATTGGGAGTTATCAAGGGCTTCAAAATAAGTATTCTTTTTTAAATCCTTTCTTAAGCTGTAGTACTGTTTGTTATACAGTCTCATGAAATTAGGTCATGCTGGTTAGTAGGCCTGTGCGAAGTGGCTAGTATTCGGTTTGGATTCAGCTGATTCAGGAGACAGTGATTTGAGTGGGTGATTTGAATCACTGTCTCAAATCAGTTCGGTCGAATCTGATTCAGACAGGCCCCATCCCACGCCCACTCTCCCAGCCCTATCAATGGCTGTCCTGCCCATCCCCAGCGTCCCAACTCTTTAAAAGAAAAAAAAAAAAGCCCTGCAGTTACCGGCTTCTGCCAGGCAGGAGGTGATCCCCGTTGCACCCCACTGCTCCACGCTGGATGGGTGGGGGCTCTGCCCCGAGTCCCCAGAATCCCTGACAGCCACTGCAGCAGCCATTGAATGTGGGGCTTCTTTTTTTTTTTTTTTTTTTTTTTTTT